ATACACGATACACTATTAAAAAAGTCTTTATGAGTGGTAACATTATTTGTACCTATACGATGTATAGCTACACTGCAGTTATATTATGAATATAGCACGAATTGGTCGGCTCGACCGGGGAGGACCACGCTCTCACAGAATATCAGAGTAACAGCATAACGCTGCTGTGTTTCGTGTGATGAGTGTAGATAAGTGATAACGCATATGCATTTCGATTTTTAAATCTATTCTGTCGTAACGGAAGGAACCTATGTTCAAAAGTGAATTCTGATAGACTATTATTATAATAATGATGATGATGAACGGCTGTAGTGATGATGATGATGATTACCAACACACAAAGATATTTCCTTGTATCTTAAATCTATCGGCAGTTTACATACACAAATTACACAAAGACAAACATGCAGACCCGGAGCAAATATATTTAGGTTATACAAATACTTGTTGAAAATTATTCGATTAATTTATTCTTGAGACTAGTTCCATGTAATGTACGAGTACTCGAAACTAACCGCAAAAATAACTTAGTCGACACTATTTACTGTTAGCGGACAAGTTTTTGTCACCAAACGTTTTCAAATCGTAATGAACAAAAAATCTACGGAAATATTAACAGTGCTTCTGGCGGACACAAAACCAAATACATTTGTAATACAAAGTTACTCGATAGTGATAGAATTTCAATATGTTATGGAACTCATACTACAGGCGGTGACTAATTTTTTGCCTGTGCCGGTTCTCTAAAAACATTGTTAGGACATACAAAATACTCGTATTACGTGAAGCAGTAAGAAGCATCACGGAGGCTTTTTAAACATTTTCACTGGTGCCAGCGGAATCAAACCCGCTTTGCGGAATAAAACCATTGTGTATTGCACTAACTTTGCTCCCAGCTGAATTTCTGAGCTTGGAGTCACAACGGTATTAAGTTTTGATTTATTCCATTCTCATATACAACTTGACAGCTTAGTTAGTTCCATAAATAAGAATTTTATTCACTTAATTAAATGTATTAATTGTCGACCCAAGCGATCTTTTATATAAGTATAGTAATAAGTATATTAATAGCACCGGTGGCATGTCTTTTGAATCATTAAAATAAAATATGAAACCTAAAATAAAAAATTACTACATTAACCATGTTATCTATAAATTTAAAAGGAGTTTCTTCAGATATTCTGCTTTATCAAGTTTATTGGTGGTAGGTGTTAGGACCACAGTTCCACCCAGGAGTCCGTTTATGTTTCTAGTACCCTCTTACCAATATCCGTTGCTAATACACTACAGTGTGCCGGACTGTAGGTTATAGAGAACCATTATAGTTACAGAGTGTGAATTTATTTTATTACACCTTAGTGTTAATGTTTCACATTCTGTAACTAGTAGATTGTAGTAGCTTTTATTTTTGTACGTGGTAGAGCCATGCTGCAGTTATAGTAGTAGTATAGTTGTAGCACGAATTGGTCAGCTTGACCGGGGAAGGGCCACGCTCTCACAGAATACCAGCGTAAAATAATACTATAATGCTGCTGTGTTTCGTATGATGGTGTAGAGAACCGGAGACCCATTTTACTGCAAACGAGGTGTTCCATCTTAGTCTAGCATCTACATTTTGATTTGTAATCGAGGATAGATGTGGATGTCTATGGACCGCAGCAACCACTTACCATTTGGACTGTGTTCGTTTTTCACCCTATCCTATAAAAAAGAAGTGACAGCGTATCTGTGGCCTTGTCTTTTATTTGAAGCTGGTAGCAGATGTCTATGAGCTATAGTAGCCAATATCTATAACTAACATACTACTAAAAGGTGGTAGTATAATCTCACCGCTAGGTCACTGGGTCATCATCATTATTGTTGGAGTAATTACACATAAATAAATTGTACACATAGACGCATTGAGATCCGGTACAATTAGATTCAAGATAAAAAAACGTAGAACTTGAACCTGAGCCCGTAGCTCCTCAACTAAAGCTGTGATGCACTAGAAAACCGCTTGTTAACTTTCCTAACTTCGTATTGTGTTAATAGGGAGATTAATATTATCTTCTTCGATTTGGATTCATTCCAATTCATATTTAAGTATTCATTACATTTAATGGGAAGCTTTTAGAGTGACGTGACATTCAACCATCAAACGATTATTATTCGTCCCACCTTGCTTAGTTTATTTCCAGAGCCAGCATAAACAGACGACACGGCAGAGAATTTTAATAATAAAATAAATTCTCAAACAAAAATAATAAATTATGTATTTCAATTGTTCGAGCACGCTCACGTAGACAAATGCTGAAGAGAGAATTTAGTATATATTGATAAATTTCAACCTTCTATCCTTCTGTCAGACTGGGTCGGGGATCGGGGAAATATTGGAAAAGATGTGATCATTACATCGGATAAGACGTTTTAAGATAGGATAAGATATTATAATATGGGATTAGATAGGACAACATTAGAAAAGATTAGATGAAATTAGAAATATCGGATTGAATCAAATAAGATCAAGGACTTGACAAAATCGGATATGATTGAATAAAATTTGTTAAGATGCGGTAAGATAGGATAAGTTGGGGTAAGATGAGATAAGACAGGATAAGATAGGATAAGTTATGATAAGGTTTTATATTTGATTTTATGATTAGAAATTAAAATATTGTAATGATATTCAGCCGATGCGTCTAATACAATATTATACCCATTTTATAATATCAACTGCAGTAGTTTTTGGTGTGGCTAGGACGGCTCTTGGACCATCCTAAAGACGAGTTCATTTGTATAATATTGCACATAGAGTATATATTACATCATGAATTTCATTCAACGAGACAGCTAAATTACATTTATTATTCAGGCCTATTGTTGAACTGCGCCGTTTAGATAAAAATCGATTGGCTGAAAGGCATGTTTTGATATTAATATACCAACTTAGTGCTGTTGTAAAAATAGATTCCTAAATAATAATCTGAAAGGATTACCCTTAAAACCCTTTCAGAAATGAGGGGAGGCCTGTGCTCAGCAGTGGGACGTATATAGGCTGTAACTTTTTTTTTTACTTTTTAAATAATAATCTAACAAATTGTTTGTATTTTGTTTCGGAATAATTGCAATGTTCGCTTTATAACAGCTATATATGAACGTAATTTTATCATCAACAAAGAAATTGCCAACAAAAGAAAGCTTTTCATGCGATATAAACTTCACCGTTTTATTGTGGTGTATAAGATAAATTTTATACAATGTGTAAAAGAGTTCCTTATGTGAAACAAACAAAGAGATTTGTTCACGAAATTAGATTTATAAATAAGATGAAATTGTTTTTTCTTTGTGGAGTTGATAATGGAACAATGTACTCATTTTAGTAAGTTTTATATAAGTGATTTTTTTTTTAATTTTATACCAAAAGATTAATATACCAAATTGTCATCTGATTCTGAGCTATGTTCAAAATTTAAAGTATCTGGCTCATCGGAAAGTGCTCGAAAGGACATTGTTCTGCGTCCATATAATGTTCGCCTAAGAACCAACAGTAACAAAAATACCTTTTTAAGTCCGAAATTATACATAATTGTATGTAAGAACAATAACTCTTGACGGACACTTCCGAAAACAGAGATATTAGCAGTTATCGTAGAGATTTTGAGGTTATCTTTTATTTTTATGAAATATTACTATGTTATTGCTAATGTAAGCAGTTCAGTCTTAGCCTAGCACTTATATGGTAAATAAAACTCAGGTTGTGATTAGGTATTTGTTTTATTCATACCAATTAAATGTAATGATTGATACTATCAAACATCATTACTTTCGAGCAAAATATTATTCAGGAATTGAGCAGGGGGTTGATATTTTCTTGGTATCGGGCCCAAATTAAATACCATATTATGATCATAACATGGGCGCAGCAACCTATAGTTCTGGGCACAACAACACAATTACAACGATATTTTTTATTGCCTCCCTCCCAATTTATGACTCAACAACCAGAATGTATACAAAATAAGTTACCGTTACTACTAATATGGCGGCTATGTATTCTCCCTCTCAAGAGCCATATATTTTCAGAATGTATTAAATGGAATTCACTAACCAGTAATCAACTCCTGTTCGACCTCCACGCAAACTTCAACAACGTAATTACCGATCGTACGTCTTACGCTCTATTTTATCGTCCTGTCATCTGTCAACATAACATTTTTTTTTGCGTGGCACAATTTTGATTGGCCAATGAGAGTACAATAGTATTGTTATTTTTAATGATTACACACGATTTTACTGTATTTCAGTTCCTTGTGGTATATACTAATCTTAGGTATATTTTAAATTATTAACGTTTTCATAATATATTTGAGTTTATGACAACTTTTTAAATACTGTTAAATGTAAGAGTAGTATTGTGCAATTGGCCAAATCACAGGAGGCCAGACGCAGCAAATTAATAAAAAATACGTACAAAGCTTAAAGTGACTGTATAGCAGGGTATACGTCTGACTTTAAAAAAGCATTACTTAGTTTCTACACGTTTTATTTCATTACAAGACATATTTCTGAACGTTTTTTTAAGTCACTAAATAGCTAATCTGTGGTAAATTTGAATCAGTTGTAAAAAATAACGAACACACCGCGGCCAGAAATTATTGTCTAGGTGAGTTTTACTTATTTTCATGATTTTATTACTTATTAAAGGTTTGTAATGCATAAATCAAAAAGGTGAAGAGTTATCCCAAGCATTGTGTAACTTAAATGGCCTGCAAGTTGTCATGTTTGGATTATTTTAAGTTGTTTACATTCGTGTATGGTATACTACACAGTGCTACAATCGCTACTATTTGCCATTATATTTATCTGTATAGAATACTATACATTGCTACTAACATGGTACTAACAAATTTTAATTGATGTGGTATGATACGAGTTCCGCATAGTGCATAAATAACTTTTTGGCTTTTATTTGAGTGATGGTTGAGCTGCATGTTGGTTTCGCTTTGTTTTAGACTATAATGAATGGAAGAGCGAGACGCATATTGTCTTTGATTTCAGTACGAAATGCTATTTCTGATGTTAGTGATGGATCCAGTAGTGATTATGAAGTCAGAGATGTCGAGAGATCACCAGCACCGTCTCTGGATTCATCATTTGAAAAGTTCGACATTCTCGGCAGCGCCACTTCCTCGCCCAGTCCTTCGAAACAAGAGGTGGAATCACGTGCAGAAGACCTTTCTAATGTAGATCCAGAGACTTTTCAAGTTTCCCTAACACCAATCCTGAACGCCGTGTCAAAATACATGCAATGCATGCAGGGCACGGGCATCAAAATGCAGATGCGTTGTCAACCGTGAGTACTTAGATGGGATGCCTCGTTTCCAGTAAAAAAAGGTCTCCGGGTCTCTACACTCGCCATACGAAACACAGTAGCATTTTAAGGTACTATTTGATGGTGGTATTCTGTGAGAGCGTGGTCCTTCCCCGGTCGAGCCGACCCATTCGTGCTACAACAATACTACTAATATAGCTGCAGCGTGGCTCTACCACATAAAAATCTGAATGAATCAGAATATGAATATTTTTTCTCAGTTTTTGGCCATTTTCATTAACAATGCATGGCTGTTACGTCGTAGACATGACAACCATATAAATAAAAAGAGGAAGCAAGATCGCCTAAAAGACTTTCGTTACGAAATTTATGCTAGACTTCTGAAACATAATAGAATTGTACCCGTAAATGACATTTTATCTGTACCTGAAAAAAATAAGATTAAGAAATCGATGGCCGAGAGGCCTTACAGGTATGACAAATTTGATCATTGGCCTCAGTTAATCGGTTATCAACGCTTTAAATATTGTAGAGAAGATCAAGCGAGTACAATGTGCACAAAATGCAATGTAGATCTATGTTAAGGGTAGAAACGGTTTCTTGGCGTAACACACGAAGCAGTAATAAAGTATTATGTATAGTATGCTATACATTGTTAATCGCAGATTATTTTCATCGAGTTTGGCAATGTATAGTATACATAGGTTTTTCCAAAAAATGAAACCTCTATTTTTTTGGTATTTTTTTTAACTTCTTTTAATCGCCTAATAAACCATTAAAACTATTTTTAGTTGTTTTCATTTGCTAAAAGTATCGTGCGACTTTAAGGGTTAAAATCTTAAAAGTCCTTTTTATTTTGACTCCATAATTCAGAAGTGTCCGTTACTATCTAATGAATGTTATCTAATGCATAATTAACGATAAGAATTTTAGTAATTGTCAAATTTATGTTGGTTCTTAGGCGAGATTTAACAACGTCCTTTGAGTTGCAAGATTCCATCCGGAACAATAGACAGACAGACAAAAAAGAAAGTAACTTAATAAAAACGTGGTAAAATGTAAGTAATAATACTTTTAAATGTTTTTTTTTTTTCGTAAATAATCGCCCATTTTTATAAAACGAAGTGACGAACAAACTTAAATTTCACCCGATGGTGAGCCAATATAGTTAAAAACAAATAAAGCTACAAACGTATCTATGAGGACTAAAATGGAATGCCTCACAGCTCGTAACATTTTAACGTGGTAGAACCACGCTGCAGCTTAGTATGGTTGTAGCATGAATGAGTCAGCTCGCCCGCGGAAGGACCACGCTCTCACAGAATAGCAGCATAAAATAGTAGCTTAATGCTGCTGTGTTTCGTAAGGTAAGTGTAGAGAACCGGAGACCCTTTTTAATGGAAACGAGACATTCCATCTCAGTCCTCACGGGTGACAACGCATCTGCATTTTGATTCGTAATCGAAGATAGATGTGGATGTCTATGGGCCTCAGCAACTACTTACCATCAGGTGGACTGTGTGCTCGTTTGTCACCTTATCCTATAAAAAAACATATAATACTTTTACACTTTTTTCACCTGCTACAAGCTAATCTAGCTGTTAGATATTTGCATAGTTACTGCACTTGGTGCGGCAACTATTCAAATATCCATAGTGGCCCCACATGAAGCAATCCACAAGGCAGGCCTATGTTCAGCGAAGGATATGTTTTATACTGTAATTAAAGACTGAGCGAGACTTTATGACCAACTTATTACTTTAACGACATAATTATGAAACTTATCAAAATCATATCTGAGCGCAATCATTCCATATTTCTGCCACAAAATAGCAGAATATAGAAGGCCGGTATAATTCCAAGCGATGGTATTCCACCTTATAGTCCTCAGAGGTCATAACGCATCTGTAAGTTTCTTTGTTTGAGGTTATTGTAGACTTTGTTTGTTTGAGGTTGTGTCCAGAGACTGCAGTAGTCACTGATTATCAAGTAGTTAGTTAGTTTGTCACATGTCAGTTCAATTTTAAAAAGAATTTCAACAAGTTTTACATAAAGGCGTTTCACGTACTTAAATTGCACATGAACAAATATCCAGACTTGAAAGTGGTTTTTGTAGGCCGTGTAAAAATTTGTTCCGAGTGGGAATCAAGCAAGAGGCTAGCAGCGCTGCTACCAAAATACTTTACAACTATGTCAATAAAATATTTATGTCCAATAAAGAATATTTTATCTATCTATCTGAATAACGGTATGGCAACTGTGATCTCAATCAACAAATTTAATTCCACTAGGCAGCGTTCGGGAAATTACATGTCTTTTTATGAATTTACTGTTTTAAGAAATTCAGTTATAGTATTTGTGCGAAGCTTGTAAAAATCATCATTATAATTAGAGCCGATTAGAAGTCTACTGCTAAACATAAGCTCTAAGCATAAGCTGCTGGCTTTCCCAAAGAATGTAACAAAACACGATCCTGAGCTACTTTCGTTCACTGAATCTTTACATCTTTTACCAGGTAGTCACTCTATCTAATCGAAGACCGCCCTACACTACTGGTAAGAGACTGCCACTCGAATAACTTTTCCCCATGCGACTTAAGGTTACTGATATAATTTTTATGCATATGTTTGTATTTTTATGTTGTACATTTGTTATATCTTTTAATTATATGAAAACAGACAGAGATATGTATAGATATAATCAATAAGAAAAGATAATAAGTAAGGCCGTTAATTATTAATCTCAATATTACTACTAAATATTAGGCATAGTTTACATTTTGAGAAGTGACAAGTGCGAGTAGCAAGTGTAACTAACAAATGACAAGTGTGCGTGAACAGGCAGTGACAAGTGATTAGTGGAAATAAAATATGCACTTGTCACTTCACACTTGCTACTTGCACTTATCACTTCTCAAAATGTTAACCGAGCCTTACTCTGTACCATTCTATTAATTTACTTAGCTTCTACAGAAGTTGGAACGACAAAAGTATTCTCATAAAATCAAACATCTGTGTGTGTGTGTGTGTGTGTGTGTGTGTGTGTGTGTGTGTGTGCGTGCGCGCGTACGTGCGTGCGTACGTGCGTGCATGCGTGCCAGCGTGCATACGTGCGTGAGTGCGTGCGTGCGTGCGGACGTGCGTGCGCGTGTGTGTGTGCGTGTGTGTGTGTGTGTGTGTGTAAGCATCATACACATGATGTGTTATCATGAGAACATCTGACATGTAAATCTTTCATAACTTTTGAACGTCTTGATCGATTGAGATTGCGGTGTTCTAAATATCTCAAAGTGGAATAGATTTGGTGATAATATTAACTGATTCGGACGATTGGTTTTTGAGAAATCCCAAAAATAAAAATTTTGATAAACTGTTTTTTGGAATAACTTTTAAACGGCTTTACCCATCGATTTCAAAAACTAATTAGCTTAAAATGACGTCGAATGTCGTTTACAAAAAATAAATTTTTACATATAACTTCGAGATTTCGCAACATATATTGGTGAAATTTGGAGCGCTTTGTATTTCATATTGCGAGAAGTTCCAGGGATGTCCTGCAGGGTCAACCATTTTTTTTATATTTAGACAATAACCTCCACACTTCGTGCGCAACTCATTGATAAGCCACTGTGTCACAGAGTCGTTTTTTCTCAAATTCTTATCTCGTTTTTAATGTACGGCGTATCTTATTACTTTTGGTGGTACCATTAATTACCTAGTAATCGAGATGTGTCATGCTTGTTAAGCTTATGCGAGCTTGTAAGCGAATGCTAAGTTCGGGGTTTCTACTATAGTTGTGATTGTGTAACAAAATTTTTTGGTTCGTGAGTGTGTCTGTGGTACCTGTCACCCAGGTACTTGTATGTGTCGCCAAATATGAGTACTTGCACTGCTATGTTTCGGTCTGAAAGGTATTGAGAGCCAGTATCATTTCAGGTTCTGAGGCATTCCATCTTGGTCTACAGATCTGACAACGTATCTTTAACCTTTTTGTTTGAGGCTGGTATAAATGGTTGGTATGGCCATAACTGACGTAAAAAACGTAAAAATAAGCAATAGTTCTACTGAAGAGTACATTCTAAATGTTTTATTTTTATATAAAATATATCTAAAATATATCTAAGATATAATATATTTGACGACTCCGTGGCGCAGAGGCTTAGCAAATGAGTGACTGCGCTGGGGGTCGCGTGTTCGAATCCCGCACGGAACAAATATTTGTATGGCCTACAAATAGTTGTTCCGGGTCTGGATGTTTGTCCTTATGCAATTTATGTTTGTAAACTGACCCTACGATACAAAAGAAAATCTTAGTGTAGGGGTAACGTCTTTATAAAGAAAAAAAAAAGAAAAAATCTTGCAACACTGCAGAACTGGTTGCAAGAAAATAATAGAAATAAACAATAAGACAAACAAAAAGGAAAAGCACATGTTTAATAATTTTACCTCCCATATTCACTTCCTTATCGCTTCCTACAATTTATGTCAGAGTAGCGTAAAGTAGATATGTCTATCCATCACTGTCTACCCTCGTCTGGTGTTTCAAGTGTGTCATTTAAGAGCTACCAACGAGCTTGTTTCGTGGAGTTAATCTTTCGGATACGTTTCGTATAAAATAATATGAATGAATCGAAATAAGGAATAAATATAATTTTCTACTTTGATTTTTTTATAGTATAAGGGTAACGAACGAGCACACAGTCCAGGTAAGGGGATGCTATGGCCCATTGACATCTACATTTATTCTAGATTAAAAATCAAAACGCAGATGCGTTGTCACCCCTGAAGACTAAGATGGAATGTCTCGTTTCCAGTAAAAAAGGGTCTCCGGATCTCGAAACTCACCATACGAAACATAACAGTATTTAGCTGCTATTTTACGCTGGTATTCTGTGAGAGCGTGGTCCTTCCCAGGTCGAATCGAATCATTCGTGCTACAACCATAATATAGCTACAGCGTGGCTTAATCAAAATGATAAAAGAAACAGAGGTATGCCTTATTCTTCTCTCACCTACTCATAAAGTT